CACTCACCATGCTCCACTCACCATGCTCCACTCACCATGCTCCACTCACCATGCTCCACTCACCATGCTCCACTCACCATGCTCCACTCACCATGCTCCACTCACCATGCTCCACTCACCATGCTCCACTCACCATGCTCCACTCACCATGCTCCACTCACCATGCTCCACTCACCATGCTCCACTCACCATGCTCCACTCACCATGCTCCACTCACCATGCTCCACTCACCATGCTCCACTCACCATGCTCCACTCACCATGCTCCACTCACCATGCTCCACTCACCATGCTCCACTCACCATGCTCCACTCACCATGCTCCACTCACCATGCTCCACTCACCATGCTCCACTCACCATGCTCCACTCACCATGCTCCACTCACCATGCTCCACTCACCATGCTCCACTCACCATGCTCCACTCACCATGCTCCACTCACCATGCTCCACTCACCATGCTCCACTCACCATGCTCCACTCACCATGCTCCACTCACCATGCTCCACTCACCATGCTCCACTCACCATGCTCCACTCACCATGCTCCACTCACCATGCTCCACTCACCATGCTCCACTCACCATGCTCCACTCACCATGCTCCACTCACCATGCTCCACTCACCATGCTCCACTCACCATGCTCCACTCACCATGCTCCACTCACCATGCTCCACTCACCATGCTCCACTCACCATGCGCCACTCACCATGCTCCACTCACCATGCTCCACTCACCATGCTCCACTCACCATGCTCCACTCACCATGCTCCACTCACCATGCTCCACTCACCATGCTCCACTCACCATGCTCCACTCACCATGCTCCACTCACCATGCTCCACTCACCATGCTCCACTCACCATGCTCCACTCACCACCATGCTCCACTCACCATGCTCCACTCACCATGCTCCACTCACCATGCTCCACTCACCATGCTCCACTCACCATGCTCCACTCACCATGCTCCACTCACCATGCTCCACTCACCATGCTCCACTCACCATGCTCCACTCACCATGCTCCACTCACCATGCTCCACTCACCATGCTCCACTCACCATGCTCCACTCACCATGCTCCACTCACCATGCTCCACTCACCATGCTCCACTCACCATGCTCCACTCACCATGCTCCACTCACCATGCTCCACTCACCATGCTCACTCACCATGCTCCACTCACCATGCTCCACTCACCATGCTCCACTCACCATGCTCCACTCACCATGCTCCACTCACCATGCTCCACTCACCATGCTCCACTCACCATGCTCCACTCACCATGCTCCACTCACCATGCTCCACTCACCATGCTCCACTCACATGCTCCACTCACCATGCTCCACTCACCATGCTCCACTCACCATGCTCCACTCACCATGCTCCACTCACCATGCTCCACTCACCATGCTCCACTCACCATGCTCCACTCACCATGCTCCACTCACCATGCTCCACTCACCATGCTCCACTCACCATGCTCCACTCACCATGCTCCACTCACCATGCTCCACTCACCATGCTCCACTCACCATGCTCCACTCACCATGCTCCACTCACCATGCTCCACTCACCATGCTCCACTCACCATGCTCCACTCACCATGCTCCACTCACCATGCTCCACTCACCATGCTCCACTCACCATGCTCCACTCACCATGCTCCACTCACCATGCTCCACTCACCATGCTCCACTCACCAGCTCCACTCACCATGCTCCACTCACCATGCTCCACTCACCATGCTCCACTCACCATGCTCCACTCACCATGCGCCACTTCACCATGGCTCCACTCACCATGCTCCACTCACCATGCTCCACCACCATGCTCCACTCACCATGCTCCACTCACCATGCTCCCACTCACCATGCTCCACTCACCATGCTCCACTCACATGCTCCACTCACCATGGCTCCACTCACCTGCTCCACTCACCATTCTCCACTCACCATGCTCCACTCACCATGCTCCACTCACATGCTCCACTCACCATGCTCCACTCACCATGCTCCACTCACCATGCTCCCACTCACCATGCTCCACTCACCATGCTCACTCACCATGCTCCACTTACACCATGCTCCACATCACCATGCTCACTCACCATGCTCCATCACCATGCTCCACTCACCATGCTCCACTCACCATGCTCCACTCACCATGCTCCACTCATCACCATGCTCCACTCACCATAGCTCCACTTCACCATGCTCCACTCACCATGCTCCACTCACCATGCTCCACTCACCATGCTCCACTCACCATGCTCCACTCACCATGCTCCACTCACCATGCTCCACTCACCATGCTCCACTCACCATGCTCCACTCACCATGCTCCACTCACCATGCTCCACTCACCATGCTCCACTCACCATGCTCCACTCACCATGCTCCACTCACCATGCTCCACTCACCATGCTCCACTCACCATGCTCCACTCACCATGCTCCACTCACCATGCTCCACTCACCATGCTCCACTCACCATGCTCCACTCACCATGCTCCACTCACCATGCTCCACTCACCATGCTCCACTCACCATGCTCCACTCACCATGCTCCACTCACCATGCTCCACTCACCATGCTCCACTCACCATGCTCCACTCACCATGCTCCACTCACCATGCTCCACTCACCATGCTCCACTCACCATGCTCCACTCACCATGCTCCACTCACCATGCTCCACTCACCATGCTCCACTCACCATGCTCCACTCACCATGCTCCACTCACCATGCTCCACTCACCATGCTCCACTCACCATGCTCCACTCACCATGCTCCACTCACCATGCTCCACTCACCATGCTCCACCCACCATGCTCCACTCACCATGCTGCACCCACCATGCTCCACTCACCCTGCTCCACTCACCCTGCTCCACTCACCATGCTCCACTCACCATGCTCCACTCACATGCTCCAACTACCATGCTCTACTCACCATGCTCCACTCACCATGCTCCACTCACCATGCTCCACTCACCATGCTCCACTCACCATGCTCCACTCACCATGCTCCACTCACCATGCTCCACTCACCATGCTCCACTCACCATGCTGCACCCACCATGCTCCACTCACCATGCTCCACTCACCATGCTCCACTCACCATGCTCCACTCACCATGCTCCACTCACCATGCTCCACTCACCATGCTCCACTCACCATGCTCCACTCACCATGCTCCACTCACCATGCTCCACTCACCATGCTCCACTCACCATGCTCCACTCACCATGCTCCACTCACCATGCTCCACTCACCATGCTCCACTCACCATGCTCCACTCACCATGCTCCACTCACCATGCTCCACTCACCATGCTCCACTCACCATGCTCCACTCACCATGCTCCACTCACCATGCTCCACTCACCATGCTCCACTCACCATGCTCCACTCACCATGCTCCACTCACCATGCTCCACTCACCATGCTCCACTCACCATGCTCCACTCACCATGCTCCACTCACCATGCTCCACCATGCTCCACTCACCATGCTCCACTCACCATGCTCCACTCACCATGCTCCACTCACCATGCTCCACTCACCATGCTCCACTCACCATGCTCCACTCACCATGCTCCCTCACCATCGCTCCACTCACCATGCTCCACTCACCATGCTCCACTCACCATGCTCCACTCACCATGCTCCACTCACCATGCTCCACTCACCATGCTCCACTCACCATGCTCCACTCACCATGCTCCACTCACCATGCTCCACTCACCATGCTCCACTCACCATGCTCCACTCACCATGCTCCACTCACCATGCTCCACTCACCATGCTCCACTCAACATGCTCCACTCAACATGCTCCACTCACCATGCTCCACTCACCATGCTCCACTCACCATGCTCCACTCACCATGCTCCACTCACCATGCTCCACTCACCATGCTCCACTCACCATGCCACTCACCATGCTCCACTCACCAGGCTCCACTCACCATGCTCCACTCACCATGCTCCACTCACCATGCTCCACCCACCATGCTCCACTCACCATGCTGCACCCACCATGCTCCACTCACCCTGCTCCACTCACCCTGCTCCACTCACCATGCTCCACTCACCATGCTCCACTCACCATGCTCCACTCACCATGCTCCAACTACCATGCTCTACTCACCATGCTCCACTCACCATGCTCCACTCACCATGCTCCACTCACCATGCTCCACTCACCATGCTCCACTCACCATGCTCCACTCACCATGCTCCACTCACCATGCTCCACTCACCATGCTGCACCCACCATGCTCCACTCACCATGCTCCACTCACCATGCTCCACTCACCATGCTCCACTCACCATGCTCCAACTACCATGCTCTACTCACCATGCTCCACTCACCATGCTCCACTCACCATGCTCCACTCACCATGCTCCACTCACCATGCTCCACTCACCATGCTCCACTCACCATGCTCCACTCACCATGCTCCACTCACCATGCTGCACCCACCATGCTCCACTCACCATGCTCCACTCACCCTGCTCCACTCACCATGCTCCACTCACCATGCTCCACTCACCATGCTCCACTCACCATGCTCCAATTACCATGCTCCACTCACCATGCTCCACTCACCATGCTCCACTCACCATGCTCCACTCACCATGCTCCACTCACCATGCTCCACTCACCATTCTCCACTCACCATGCGCCACTCACCATGCTCCACTCACCATGCGCTACTCACCATGCTCCACTCACCATGCGCCACTCACCTTGCTCCACTCACCATGCGCCACTCACCATACTCTCCTGAGCATCTCTCTCCATCACCCGCGCCCGCCACGCATCTATCCTCGCCTCCACCACCCCCCCCTGCTCCTCCCTCTGCCCCTCCCACGGCACTCCGCTCGCCCACATGCCCGCATAGGGCCCACCCATCAGACAACGGGGGAAGAGGGGGAGGGGGGAAAGGGGTGTTGGAGAGAGCGAGTGGTGGGGAGGGGGGGGGGTGGGGTGTAGGTTAGGAAAGGAGTAAGTGGGGATGGCAGCAGAAGAGGAAGTGGGAGAGGGGAGAGAAGCAGAGCTTAGTCTCGGCAAACCTCTGCCTGCTTCCCACCCATGCACAGGGCCACTGGTCAGAGAGCATGAGGGGGGGGTGGGGGTTGTGGGGGGGTGGTGGTTATGGTAGAGTTGGAAAGTGAGTGGGGGCGAGAGCATGAGGGGAGCAAGCGGGGAAAGGGGGAAAGAAGCACAGCTTGTTCTCCTTTTCTGCTCTACCTGCTGCTGCTCACCTGCTGCCATGCCACTGTCTGCTGTGCTCGCCTCGTTGCCCGCCATCGCTTCTTCCTCACCGCCCTGCCCCGCGCCCTCACCACTCGCAGCGCCTCCACTCGCTCCACCCACCCCCCCCCTCGCTCGCTCCCACTTGTCTCACCGCCCTTCCCTGCGTCCTCACCCCCACACCCTTCCGCTGCGCTCCCCCACCCGCCGTCACTTCCTGCCTCTCTGGCGCCGCCACCCTCCCACCGCTCCTCCTCGTCCCCACCTCCCACACCCGCAGTCCCCCCACCTCCCACACCCGCAGTCCCCCCACCTCCCACACCCGCAGTCCCCCCACCTCCCACACCCGCAGTCCCCCCACCTCCCACACCCGCAGTCCTCCCAGTGCCCTGCAGGGCGAGCAGCAGGCGGGTGAGCGGCGCCATCAGCCGTTGCACCTCGCCGCCCACCTGCTCGCCTGCTCGCGCCCACACCGCCTGCGCATCTGCCCTCACTGCTGCTTCTGCCCGCGCGCCTGCTTCTGCTGCCGATTCTGCCGCTGCAAGCGCGGTGGGTTTGGGTGCCGGCCCGGCGGGGCGGAGTGGTGCCCACGGTGCTGTGGCAGCCCTATTGCTCGCCTGCTGTGCGCCTGGCGCCGCTGCTGCCGCTGCTGGCGGCAAGCACTGGCCCTTGTGCAGGCTGGTGGGGGCGAGGGGACCGGATTCGGGCAGGCACACGAGAAAATCAAATAATGGGAGTGAGGGTGAGTGATGGGTGGCTTTGTGGGGCGGTGACTGGGATTGGTATGGTGACAGTCAGTGTGTGGTTCGTGAGAGAAGAAGGTGGCGGGTAATGACAAAGAGCGGGGAGCTGGGCGGAGGGCGCAAGGAGAGGGGCGCACAGGGAGGAGAGGAGCTGCGAGTGGCGCCACAGCGCCTCCACCGCTCGCCGCACCTCCTCCGCGCACCTATACCCCGCGCCTTCCCTGTCGCCCCCCACTTCGCTCCTCACACTCGCCCCCGTTGCACCTCTCCCCTCCCCCACGTCCAGTCCCCGCCGCTCGTTCCGCGCATCAGCACTCCCGAGCCCGCCCCCACCAATCGGTTCCCCCCATCCGCCACAGTCGCCTCCGCGCATCCGCCCTTCCAGCCGTGCGCGCCTTCCACCTGCCACCAGGGCAGTGCGCTGCGTGCTGCGCGCTGCAGCGCCGCGAGCGGGGTGGCGCACAAGACTGCCCGCCGCTGCTGCGCTGCTCCAGGGGCGACGTCGATGGAACGAGCGCGCGATGCTCGCAACGGCTACGATAGGCCTCGCTGCGGCGCGTGCAAAGTGGTCGAATGTTGTGGGCCTCGTTGCCGGAATTCAATGTACCTGGGGCGTGCCACTCCTCGTGCGGCTGGGCTCGTCGGGCTTTAAGAGGCTAAGAAACGAACGAATGGTCGATCAGCAGCAAGCCTCCTGGCAGTAGATTCAGTGCTAAAGGTAGCGAAAGTAGAGGTGATGATTTCGTGGAATGACCGAGTAATCGACCTAGATGCGTGGATACGCGTTTCAGCTACCGATGGCTTTTATCAGTGCGGGCGCGCACCGCACTCGACGCCTCCTACGCGAGACGGCAGTTCGCGGCGAGATTACCTCCCTCAAACTCAGCATTTCCAATGAGCTGCTCTATTCTTCGTGGTAGCATGTGGTGGATATGCAACCCTAATCTGCGTCCGTCACACCAAGTCCGCACGTACCCTGGGTTCGATTTTCCTGGTTGATTGGCGATTACCAAACCGCATACCGAACCGCCTTAAGGCATCTTCCGCAACGCGCCGATTGTGCAGCGTGGGGGAAGCGTGCGAGCAGGTTCGCACGCCGCCTTCATCAATGCTCTCCACGTGAGAGTCGCCTCGCGTCGCAAGCATGGCCGCGGCGCTCCGCGCTGGGCGAATCAGCGCCGCCGATTTCCCGCTCGCCGCGGCCAGACTCGCAGCAGCGTGGAACGCGGCGGAAGACGCGCAGTCGATTGGCGAGGCGACTCGCAGCTCCCCCGCGGCGGCAGACGCGCGGCGGAGTGGACGAGCGGAGAGCGAAAAGGCAGCGTGGGCAGCGGCGCAAAGTGGAGGGGGTGGTTCCGCGATAGCGCGGAATGCGGCGGCAGACGCGGTGGGCGAACGGCAGGGAGTGGAGTGCGCTCGCTGTGAGGGGCGCGCGGAGGGCGTGATATGGCAGTGGGTTGCGGCGCGGGCGTCGTCTCTGGCAGTGGGAGGTGAGCGCGCCTCGAGTGAGCGAATGGTGGGGCGACATGAATGCATGCGACGCGCAGGTGCCCCTTGGCTTTGTGGCTCCTTGATGCCACGTCACATGCTCATGCTCATGCTCATGCTCATGCTCATGCTCATGCTCATGCTCATGCTCATGCTCATGCTCGGTCACACCTCCCTGCTCCATCGCTCCTGCTACCCGTCCCCACAGATCCCCATTCCCCTTCTCTCCCCTTCCATTCCGTGTGTTTCGCTCTTTCGCCGAGCACACCTCAGGAGAGAGGATCATGGTCATCAACTTCCCTAAGCTCACCCTCCCTGCCCACTCCGTCCCTTTCCCCAGACGCATCCCTCCTTTTCAACCTCTCACGTGCCACTGCCATCGCATCTCCCCGCCTCACCCTGTCGTCTCATCCACCCTCCCTCCCTCCCTCCCTCCCTCCCTCCTTCCCTCCCTCCCTCCCTCCCTCCCTCCCTCCCTCCCTCCCACCCACCTACCGCCCTGTGCCAGGCGGCTACCTCACCACGCTCCACCCGCTGCTGCTGCACCGCACACGCACTCCCCACCACCACACCCAGCAGCACAGCCAGCAGCAGGGGTGCTGCTGCGATGGCGGCTGCAAGGAGGAAGCGAGAAGCCACGACGCGCTGCCTGCTGCGTGCACTGCTCACCACCACCCACCTCTTCTCTTCACTCTCCCGGTTGACCCGGTTGACCCAGTTGACCCGGTTGACTGGGTTGATGCGGTTGACTTGAGTGGCGAGGAGGCGCACGACCCTGCCACTCTGCACTGCTGCGCACATCCCCGCCACAACACAGCGCCGCCAGGAGCAGATGCAGGAGCAGCAGTAGTTGCAGAGGCGTCAACCCCATTACAGTCACGGCTGCATGCACCCTTGCCAGCAGCAGCACAGGCAGAACGGCACACAGCGGGACCAAGAGAACTGGACGCTGTGTTGAGAGATGAGAGCCGGGTGTCTGGCAAAGCAGCATGTGGAACGAGGAGTGTTCAGCATTCATGGGACGTGGCTTTGAGTGACGTGGCATCAAGTGACACGGTGGCATTGGTGCATTGCCACGTGGTGTTTGATGCTGTCTTCTCCGTGCCACAACTGCTGCTCCTGCCATGCTGCCCAGGTGTGCCACCCATGCCATGCTTCGCCATGCCATGCCATGCCATGCCATACTCCGCCCTCACGGCACCTCTCCACCATGGGCCCAGCAGGTGCAACCAAGTTGACCTCTCTCGCATCTCAAACGCACCTCTGACTGCGCCCACTCTCCTTTTCCATGTGCCCCTCTGCTGCCCACTTCCTCTGCTGCCCACTTCCTCTGCTGCCCTCAGCTCCCTGTCCACTGTAAACCACATTCATCCCTTCCCACGCCCCAACCCCCGCCCCCTCTACCCCCCACCAGACGGCCGCCCCCTGCCCTGGCAGGACCTCTTTGCCTTCCTGCCTCGCCTCCCCGACCACCCCTTGCTGCCCTCACCCCTGCCCTCCGCCCCTCTTCCGCCCACCGCACATGACCCCTCTCTGGACACCTGGCACCTGCTCACGCCCCTGGTACGCCCCCACCCACAAGTTCCATCGCTCATGCTCTCACCACCAACCCGCACCTGCCATGACTTGCCGTGCCCCAAGCACCATGCATGGACCATTGGCTGTGGCCCGCACTCGAAGCTGTGCTGCACTGCATGCATGCCTTCCCTTCGCCTCTCCTCACTCATTCACTCGTCATTGTTGGACGCACAGCGTTGCTCGCTGCCCATTTCCAAGGCTTTGATCTGCCACGTGATTGCCCTCACTGCACTTCCATTGCACTGTGCACTGTGTGCTGCCCTCCCCATGCTGCCCTCCCCATGCCACCCTCCCCATGCCACCCTCCCCATGCCACCTTCCCCATGCCACCCTCCCCATGCCACCCTCCCTATGCCACCCTCCCCATGCCACCCTCCCCATGCCACCCTCCCCATGCCACCCTCCCCATGCCACCCTCCCCATGCCACCCTCCCCATGCCACCCTCCCCATGCCACCCTCCCCATGCCACCCTCCCATGCCACCCTCCCATGCCACCCTTCCCATGCCACCCTCCCCATGCCACCCTCCCCATGCCACCCTCCCCATGCCACCCTCCCCATGCCACCCTCCCCATGCCACCCTCCCCATGCCACCCTCCCCATGCCACCCTCCCCATGCCACCCTCCCCATGCCACCCTCCCCATGCCACCCTCCCCATGCCACCCTCCCCATGCCACCCTCCCCATGCCACCCTCCCCATGCCACCCTCCCCATGCCACCCTCCCCATGCCACCCTCCCCATGCCACCCTCCCCATGCCACCCTCCCCATGCCACCCTCCCCATGCCACCCTTCCCATGCCACCCTCCCCATGCCACCCTCCCCATGCCACCCTCCCCATGCCACCCTCCCCATGCCACCCTCCCCATGCCACCCTCTCCGTGCTGCCAGGAGCATCCCTTCCTGGGCCGGCCCTGCATGGCCCTTCACCCCTGCAACACTCCCGCTGCCATGGCGCTCCTGCTGCACGCTGCTGCTACAGCTGATGCTGCTGCTGCTGCAGGCAGTGCTGCTTGTGATAGTGCTACTGCTACTGCTACTGCTACTGCAAATGCTACTGCTACTGCTCCTGCTCCTGCTACTGCTACTGCTACTGCTACTGCAAATGCTACTGCTACTGCTCCTGCTACTGCTAGGGGTGGTGCTGCTGGTGGTGCGGCCGCTGCAGCAAGTGGTGCAGATGGGGCTACCAGTGAGGCGAGTGCAAGGCCAGCAGCGGTCGGTGCACCTGTCGCCACCACCACTGCAGCATCACACCACCACTTTCTGGCGCTCGAGCTCTACATGCTGAGCTGGCTCTCCCTGGTTGGCCGCATCGTTGGCATGCAAATGCCACCATGTGTGCTCACCCGAATGGCTGCACTGGCAGCAGCAGGCACAGGGTGACACCATCAATGGTGCCTCTCAGCATTGCCCACAGGACGCGCATGCAACCCACTGCTAGCACATGCGTGAAGCACATCCAACGAACCAAGGCCCAGGGAGCACCGCTGTATGCATGCACGGAGCATGACGTCAGGCAACACATAGTGGTACCGCTGTGGACGGGGACAAGCAGGCAGACGTGTGGGTGCAAGTTGGGCACAGGGGTGGGCATGGCATGTCATGCCTCAACGAGCACTATGCACTGCCCATGCACTGCTTCTGACAACTGCCTGCCCGACTTCTGGTTCACCTTCCTGCTGTCGCATGTCGTGTAGTGCTCAGGGCTCTCGTTAGCAGACTAATTTAGTCTGCTGGTCTAGGTTTCAGGCGCGAAATGTATCGTTCATATGCTGTGGCAGACTTTAGCTTATGGGCCATATGAGAGTCAAGACAAATGCTATAACGTCATACCGTAATACCCCGGATATAAGCGCACCTGCGCTTATAATAAAACAGTGTTTTTTGGGGGGGTGCGCTTATAATTGAGTCAGATTTATAAGCGCATGCGCTTATATAATAACAAATGCAAATTTATAATTCATTGGCACCAAATTGTACATATCCTTCTTGTGATTTCAATCGAATCGAAGTGGTAGCGAGTCGCAATTCAGATTCGCGCGTGAGCGATTTTCTGCCGGCGCACAGAGGAAAATTTACACGTCACTATCAGAAATGCCAGCTCATACTGACTGGACGCGCAGTATGTGAGGTCCTCGAAAGTCAATCGAAGCGAAAATAGTTGTATCCTCACTGCAAAATTTGAAATCGCTACCGTTTTAATCTGGTTTGAATTTTAGAATTATACGTGCGCTTATAATAAATCAAGGTTTTACAGGGGGTGCGCTTATAAATGAGGATCGGCCATAAGCGCATTGCTCCAGATACAAGCGCATGCGCTTATAATAGGCCTGCGCTTATATCCGGGGCCATACGGTATGTTTTTTCAGGAAACTTATAGCAATTCATCTGATCCAGCAGAAATCGTGTATTGTTTCGTCTGAATGAGACAAAATGGCCCAGTTGGCCAGAGGAGCAGCGAGGTGTTGCATGTGAAGGCACGCGTACTGATTTTTGCGTGAGGGCACAGGGGTGAATTTCGGATTCTTCCTGCCAGCGCATTCTGCATCTGACTCAGTTGCTGCCACGCATCTGTCGGGTAGCTGTTGTCGGCGCCGCTGCCAGGCTGTTGCCCCTCACCTCGCTGGCAGAGTGCAAGGACAGTCGGTGCACATCAAAACAAAGCATGCACACACCTTCGTGAAAGAGGCGCGGCGCGGTTCGTTAGGTGATGGTCCCTTCCCTTCCTTTCTTCTCCAAGCCTTTCTTTGACAACCTGCCTTTACCTTTCAATCTTTGACGCCTAGCCCGAAGCATACCTATCGTCCCGTAGCTTGTTCCCGCGTACCGTCTAGAATTCCTTTCTTGCTACTGCCTCATGTGAGGTGATACACCACCTCACACCATGCTATCTGGCGCCCTCGAGTCAACCGACAGCGCTAGGCATGATCAACCCGGGGTACCTGACGAGCCACGGGTTTCTGCGTTAGATTTCCTAACCCGTAAAGCTCCGGCAGCAATTCTTGTGACCACCACTGCCGCAGTCGAGACGCCTCCGCCTGTGATTCCTTCCCCCAACGTCATCACATCCTGCAACGACGAGCCGCTTATCCCCTTGCAATCTACGTCAGACGCTACTGAGACTGCGACCCAGCCTAACCCGGCTGAAGCTGAGTCCTCGCCGCCGCCCGTTTCGGCATCTGTGGCCACAACTCTACCGGCGATTTCTGTTTCTTGCATTAGAGCAGGGACCGGCAAATACAAACAGCGAATTCTGAGCTTTGCCCGTCCCACTGCAGGTGTCCCGCCAGCAACCGTCCCCCGCTTTAGCACAACTTGCCCGGGCCCGTCACAACCCGTCGCCGCCAACGACGACGACAAGTATCCGCGCGCCTTGACCGTCGAGCAATGGCAGCAGAAGGCTAACGAGAAATGGCTAAAGCACTTCCCGTGGCTCATCATCTCGGAGACTTCATGGGGTCAACCCTGCATGAGGTGTTCAATCTGCATGGTGCACGGAGACCCCAGCTACCAGTACGGCCGCGATGGAGAGGGTGGGCTGGACATTCAACGACAGACGATGCGGAAACATCAGCATTCCATCAAGCATGAGGCTGTCAGAATATTATCTTATGTTCTAGCCTGTAGTGGGGTGCTCTATAGCGAGTACAACCCTTCTAGGGTTTGCTATTTGTATCCTCATTCTTGCTAGTTCAATCCCTCTTTCTTTCTTCTAATTTTGTCATGCTATCAGAGCAGGTCGATCCCTTTGGATCGATCCTGTGGGTGGGTTACCACCTCCACGCTTCCGCTGCAACGTTTTCCTTCCCGCCGTGCGCCCCGAGGCGCGCGGCGGTTTTCTGCCCGCCGTGCGCCCCGAGGCGCGCGGCGGTTTTCTGCCCGCCGTGCGCCCCGAGGCGCGTGGCGGTTTTCTCTGCCCGCTGTGCGCCCCGAGGCGCGCGGCGGGCGTCTGCCCCGTCGTTCGTCGCGTCGCCTTCTGGAGGCGCCGCGACGGGCGACGGGGACCCGTCGCGGCCCCGCTGCCCTACCTTCGCGGCCACCCGCCGCCCTACCGTCGCGGCCACCCGCCGCCCTACCTTCGCGGCCCCGCCGCCCCTTCTGTCGCGGCCTCGCCGCCCTACCTGCGGCCCGTCGCCCTACCTGCGGCCTCGGCCCCGGCCCCGGCCCCGTGCCCCTACCTGCGACCCTCTCAGGCCCGTGGTGGGCCCCTTTCTCCACCCCCCCCCCCCCCCCCCTCTTTTCCCGTCGCCCGTCGCGGCTCCTTCGGGGGCCGCGGCGAGCTGTGGGGTGGCGGGTATGGGGGTGGTCGGTGTGCATTCCTCCCTTTGCTCCTCCTCCTTCGTCTCCCACTACTGCAGCTGTCGCTGAGGGGGGTGGTTGTGTGGGAGACTGGGGTTTAGGGTTTAAGGGGGGTGCGTGGGAGTGGAGCTAGCGGTGTAGCAGCGGGTGCGTGTCGGGGGGGTGGGACTGTTTGGGGAAGCTGCATGGAGGTTGCCGTACTCTTGTCCGCAGCACCTGTAGTCCGGGGCGCTGTCCCGGTAGCCCAGTGAGCTAGACTTCTACGCCAGCCGCCCGTGGGTCCGTTGCTCGTCTGCCGCTACTTTTGCCGCGGGGCCTGTTACTCCTGTAGTCCGGGCGCTTAGTCCGGTAGCCGCTGTGCCAGTCTGCCTCCTGTTGCCCGTGTGTCTGCAGCTTCAGCCGTCGCCTCCTATCTCCTCTCCCCTCACTCTCTCTCCTCCTCCTCACTTGCCCGTTGTGACTACCACTAGCTTTGCTCATAATTGTGAACTCTAAACTATTTCTTCTTGAACTTGTGCTCAGATTGTGTAGTGACATTGTGATCCACCCTGAGCTTGTACTGCTTTGCCTGCTCTGCTGATTACACCCCACTTTGGCTATGGGGGTGTGTCAGAATATTATCTTATGTTCTAGCCTGTAGTGGGGTGCTCTATAGCGAGTACAACCCTTCTAGGGTTTGCTATTTGTATCCTCATTCTTGCTAGTTCAATCCCTCTTTCTTTCTTCTAATTTTGTCAGAGGCGTCAGTGGACCGCCAACAGCTACGTGACAGCAAGAATGTTGCTCAGAAGTCGATTGTCGACTTCGAGAACGGTGACGGGGAAGCCAAGTGTTTGACAAAACTCCTGGCAACAGTTATTTTTATTTGCAGAAGCGACTCACCCATTGTGCTGTTTGTGACCCTGGACCAGTTCATGGCAGAGATGGGCACGCCCGACATGCCCCTGAAGGATTCCGGCACCTACTACAGCGAAGTGTTTTTTTTTTTTTTTTTTTTTTGCGGGTTTAGGGTTTAGTTGAAAACCACGGTACTAATTACCTTGTCTCTGGTCGTTACAGGTACGGATTTGCGCAGTTGGTTGAGACGCTTGTCATCTACCTCCATGCTCAACAGATGAAGCACATCCGAGAGAGTCCTTACCTGGGCATTCAATTGGACAAGAGCACGGACCGTCGGCGCTGGAAGCACCTGATAGTCTACTTGTCGTTCCTCCGCAGCACCTAACAGTTGAGCAGTGCGATGCTGATTCCCTGCAGGCAGTCCTTCTAACCCACCTGGAGTCTACTGGCCTCAACCTTGAGCGCATCAGTGGCATCAGCACTGACGGTGCAAGCGTCGTGGTCGGTTCTCAGACGGGCCTGGTGGCACGCCTTCGTGGGCGGATTCCACACCTCGCCGGGTTCCACTGCATCGCGCACAGGTTTTTAACCCTGTAATGTTATGCTTACCTTTTAATCGTTGCATATGTATCTAACTTGTTGCTTTTCCGTGTTGTGTCAGGGAAGCTTTGGCCGCAAAGGATGCAGCAGAGGCCTACCCCGACCTTGACATCGTCGACCATGTCGTCCGTTCCTTAGCGGAGCTCCTTGGACGGTCGGGCAACTTCCACCTACACTT